TCCTGTTTACTAGATAGTTGCTGTACCACTTGAGCTACCGCAGAGCTGTACATTCAATCGCACCGTAAGCTTTAGCTCTTAATTTTTACGCGAAAGAGTCATTAATTTTTTAATATTGACTCAAAAAACGAGGTTTTTTGCATTTTGCGGGGAAATCGCTGGTTCAATTGTGATCGATCAGAGCTCGTTTTGTTCGTCTTTTTTCTACGCATACTCCTATATTTTTTATTTTTTATTTTAAGGCTCATTGTTTATTTCCGATGCTAAAAACCGTGTTTTACCATTTTTGCCATTTTTTTGAAGTCTTAGCGAAAAATATTTTTTGTTCGATTATATTACAATCGATTGGCATTTTTCTACAACATATTTTTTTCGAGCTAGTCTAAATTTAATGAAAAATTACCGTAATTTCAGATAATTTGATCTGACTAATATATACATACCTAGAACGAATTAATATGATCATAACAAGAAGTCCTAATAAAACTTCCAAGGGTGAAATTCAAGGAGCTTGCTTGTATTGGTTAGTGAAGTAAAATCATTAATTTAAAAAAGTACATTTGGATGATAGAAAATCCATTTTAAAGATATTTCAGAAAAAAGTAGATGTTAAATTTAAGTTTGCAAAATGACTACTGGTAAACCAATATTGCACAACAAAAAATTATTTAATCCTATAACAACCGTAGATCATCAGCTACATTGAGAAAATTAGTGCTTTACAAAGTGAATTTTTTTTTCAGAACATCTAAAAAAAACTTATTAATTGCCAAACAATTATAAAAGCTAGTGTTAATAATGATACGTTAAGAGTCACTCACGCTGTTTTGGATCTATAATGTATATCCATCCTATATCACATGAGTATAAGCGTCATCCATGTAGTATAGCAAGCGAGTGCTTAGGTAACAAAGTCGTATTTTCCGCTGATGCGGAGAAAATGTTTCGACAAATTCTCCTGCAAGAATCAAATCAAAAGTTTCAAGCCATTCTCTGGCGTAAAAACCTTAGTGAACCTGTAAAATCATACCTTCTTACAACGGTCACGTACGGTCTAGTTTGTTCGCCCTTCTTAGCCTCTCGAGTACTTCAAGAATTAGAGCTATTATACCATCAAAAGTATCCTTTGGGAGCTCAAATACTTCAGGAAGAAGTTTATGTGGACGACTTCTTATCAGGCTCTCATTCAATACCAGAGGCCATAAACAAAATAGACGAGTTGACAAAACAACAAGCTTAGGATGTTTTCAGTTGAGAAAATGGTCTTAGCGCAAAATATTTTTTGTTCGATTATATTACAATCAATTGGCATAGTTTAATTCTCTACAACATATTTCTTCGAGCTAGTCCGAATTTCCATTGCCGAAAACTTAATTCGATCCCACTATATAGTAACCTCTTATCTCTAGTAAATCTCAAAATATTTATCTCTCAACAGTGTGTATAGAATCATATTGGTATCAGTAACCGTACAGAGACAAAGCATACATGCTTAGTATCTGCAAACTATGGTACTGTTGTAAAATGTTTTATTTGCTTGAGCATATCACCTTGTAAGTATTTGCAGAATTCAGAGTACAAGTATTTATCTCATGCGTAAATGCGTCAAGACTATAAAACTAAAATGTAAAAAAAACTAATGAGTTGACAAAACAACAAGCTTAGGATGTTTTCAGTTGAGAAAATGGTGCAGCAATTCAGCCCAAATTCTCGAAAACATATCCCCCACACGTCGCTCTATTACGGCCTTGGATTTATCAGAATCTAGTGAATCTACTTTAGTGTTAGATATTAAATGGAAGCCCTGCTCTGATGAATTTTACTTCCAAACGGACAATATTAAGGGCAATATAGCTTGGACTAAGCGCTCTGTTTTAGCCCAAATTGCCCGACTTTTCGATCCGCTAGGTTGGATTTCCCCTGCAATTATTAAGCCAAAAATAATGATGCTGGAAGTTTGGTTACTAAAGACTTCTTGGGACGGTAAGTTGCCTCCTGAGTTGTGCAAGGAATGGCACGACTGGATAAGTGAAGCGGCGTCTTTTAGCCAAGACAAGATCCCTCGTTGGAATAATTTTCAACCAAAGTCAAATTCTATGGAAATAAACGGTTATGCTGACGCTTCAAAGCGTGCATATGCTGATTTAATATACACACGTGTCGTTACACCAAATGGTGTTTTTGTGACCCTTGAAGTGGCAAAAACGAAAGTAGCGCCTATCAAGACTATAAGTATTCCTCGTCTTGAGTTTTGTGTGCTGCTCATCTCCTTGCTAAACTTGTGAATCATTATTTATCTACAATAGGTCTAAGTGAGGTAGAAATTCATCTCTGAACAGATTCTAAAAACGTCCTACATTGGATTAATGCCGTACCCTCTCGTTGGCCAACCTTTGTCGCTAATCGATGCTCCGACATCATGACTCTTGTTCCCTTCAGTCAAAAATTATTAGCTATTATTTTAACTATAAATTATAGCTGTATTTACAGCTATAATCAGCTACAATAATAGCTATAATTGACTACAAAGTAGCTATAATAATGTACAAATAACAACTATAAAAAGTAGCTGTTCACTGCTATAAATTTCTAGCAAATTTTAATTAACAGAATTTATTCAATAATTTTTTTTTTTGTAAGGTATATCAACTATATAAGATGATATTATCCGTATAATAATACTAAAAGTGGGGGTTCAAGTATTTTTGAACAATAAACGAAAAAAATTTTAACAGTAACATTTTTTTGTTTCTTCGTTGTTTGTTTCTTAGCCAGGCTTGTTAATGCGCAGGCTTTATTCTTGCTACTAAATGTTATTTAACTGATCTAATAGTTCATCATTATCATCAAATGACTTTGCACGGCGGCGTGCAAGTTACGCTTTTTTCGATTCGTAAAGTGTACTGGATAGTATGTGGACGTCAAGTCGTCAAAGCCATTCTTAATAAATGCATTAAATGCAAAAGGTATGCTAGTTGGGTACAAAAACAGCTCATGAGCGACTTGCCTCAATTCCGTGTAGTTTCTGTACCTTCGTTCACTATAACAGGCGTTGTTAATGCCGGTCCTTTTCCGATTCGGTTAGCTAAAGTTTGAGGCCGCAGAACTCAGAAGGGGTACACAGCGGTATTCGTGTGCATGTCAACCAAGGCAGTTCACCTTGAAATAGTAAAGGACTGTTCTTCTTCGGCTTTTCTCGCCGCTTTCCATCGTTTTTCAAGTTGTCGCGGCCAATGTACTGACCTCTATAGCGATCAAGGCACTAACTTCGTAGGTGCTGCCTCTGAACTTAGAGAAGTTCTAGTTCGAATGCTATCATCAGACAAACAATTTCAAAATTTAGGTACCAACTGGCTCTTTAACCCCGCGCCTTCCGCTCCCCATTTTGGAGTGTTGTGGGAAGCTGCGGTGAAATCGATTAAATATCACATCAAAAGAGTCATTGGCGAGTAGGTCCTGACATTCATAGAGTTCTCTACCCTTCTTTGTCGTATCAAGGCATGTCTAAATTCTAGACCTTTGTTAGCTCTCTCAGATGATCCTCAGGATTTTCTCCCCTTGACTCCTGCTCACTTCATAAACGCAAAACCAGCTTATTTAATTCCTGAGCCTCCTGTTGATCAGAAGGAGCTCACGCCACTTAGGCGCTGGAAGCTGATCTCTTTCTCTCTACAAAGCTTTTGGAAACGCTGGGCTTCCGAATATTTGAGTTCTTTACAAGCCCACCAGAAGTGGTATACAGAGGAAAGGTCGATCCCTATAAATACTATAAATAATTTAGTTTTAATCAAAAAGAAGAACTGCCCACCTGGTCATTGCCCTTTAGCTAGAGTGGTTGAGATTTTTAAGGGTTCTGATAGTCTTGTAAGAGTACGTAGCAAAGTTACGTACTGGTGACTGGTGTTCTTACCAGGTCGGTAGTACAGTAAAGTACAGCGGTAAAGTGTAAGGATGTAAATGCACTTAAATATGCTGTGTTTTCACAGTCGCAATCCATGTTTTTATTTGTTCCAATCTTGTAGTACACGTAACAACACCAAACAAAATTTATTACGGTACACTCGCATAATACACACTCAAATCGCACTGATTCATTTGGTCAATTCTCTCTTAATAAACTTTTTTTTAATTTATTAAAAAAATTAAAAATGCATTCCATGCATTCTGGCGATCTTAGCGAGGGACAATTTCTCTCACTCGACGGCGCCACCTGACATAGGCGCATAGCGAATACCTGAATACCTCGTATGTATATACTGGTTGCGAGACCAGGTGCGAGAGAGAGTCCGAGTTCCGGTACATCCTGTCTCTCGGTGAGTCCCATAAGTTAGAGCAGCTAACCAGCAGTAGGCCAGTAGTTCAAGCGCACGCAATTTTAACTTTTGCATTGTGTAACGCTCTAAAAGTGTGCGCCCGCGCAGTCTGCCTTTTGGAATACCCTCTACATTTTCTCATTCTATGACTGTGAGCCAGGTGGATCCATAGACATGTAAAAAATAGACTGCTCATTCTTATGTACGGCGCTGAAGCACAAGTAGAAAGACACACAACATCGAACGTGTATACCTGTTTCTCACGCACATTGCCAACGGTGAGGATCAGTAAATGAAGGCGAGAGAGACAGATATACACGTTCAATGTTGCGTCTCTTTCTACTTGTGCTTCAGCGCCGTACATGAGAACGAGCAGTCTATTTCTTATATTTCTATGATGAAGAGTAGAAAGTGGACTACTGACCAATGTTTACTGTTGAATTTACTGTTTGTGCCTTAACCAAACCTGGATAGAATAATACTAAAATGGAATAAGCAACCTTATTTACCATTGTTTATACTACTAAATTTTATGCAAACAAAATGCCAAAAACTTGTTTTATGTGTGGTGTTGAATACGATGGCTCTAAAAAGCGAGCATTTCATGTGTAAGTAAACATTATTAGAATGAATTGTGCATAAAAATACTTTTTCGTCATAAGCATTAATTTTGCAGTTTCCCTAAAGACCCAGAAAGAAAGAAAGAGTGGCTTTCAATCGTAGGCAAGGAATCTTGTTACAAAGGAGCTGTCATATGTGGTGATCACTTTTCTGAAAGCGATTATCATGATACAGATGGGTATACTACCCGCCGACGTCTACTTTCAACAGCTGTGCCTAAACGGGTAATACATGATGTGTCTGTAAGTGATCCTTCAAATCGTAATGACTTATCATCAAAACAAACATTCGAGCAAGAAGATTCAAGTACTACAGGAAGTAGTATCAGCAATGATATAACAAGTTCCTCTGAAAGTCTTGAAAAAGATCCAAGCACGAGTGACGATGATTTTTCTTGTGATGAAGTTCTTTCATCACCTTCAGATGAAAGGTAAATATTTAAGATAATAGACTATTTTTTAAATTCCTCAATCAATGATGAGAAATTTGACAAACTTGTTCCACTCCAAAAGCAAAAAAAATCTGCACAAAACTACTTGCTACTTTCTCTTCCATCAGTGATAAACAAATAACTATATTATATATACTATTATAGCAATTGATAATTAAAAAAAATATTCTTTAATAATGAATTTTGATAACTTGACATGTGACAACCTTTTTTTATAGATCAAGTGATGCAGAATCAATAAAAAAATTCTCTAGAAAAAAGAAATCCGCAGCATCAAGTAATTATCAGTCTCCAGTAAAAAGGTTAAATGTTTTATTTAAAAAAATTATACAAAGACTGTTAACACTTAAGAATAATATTTTTATCCATTGCAAAAATTTACAGACAGAAGAAGTACACCCGTCCTGTATCTGACGATGACAAGATTTTTGTCAATATCTCAAATACTGAAAAAGAATGTTTTACGCGCCAAAATTTCAATTCTGATCATGATTGGCACAAATTTTTGAAGCATGTAGCTCATCAAAATGAAGAAAGTAAAATATTTAGACAGAAATGTTCAAGATTGAAAAAAAAAGTAAATAGTTATAGTACTTTAGTAGAGAAACTCAGGAGTAAAAATCTTCTAGCAGGTTTTGCAATCGACAATATTAATGTAAAACTAACTTATTATAACCCATGTTAACTCTAATTTGAATGATCAAACTGTACATATGGGAATGAAACCGTTGTTTTTTATATTCAATAAAGTTAGATTGTAACAATCAGTTTTTTTTACTTTTAAAAGTTTTTGAATTATTGCAAATTTTGAAGAGAATCACTAAAACAACACTAAATTTAACAACTGTGTTTTCTGAATATTTATAGTACCAAGAAATCCTGAAAGTTCGTTCTGGGCAAATCTGAAACTACAATATCGTCACTGAAAACCGAAACAGAATATTTTTATAGAAATCTCTGCCTTTTATATTAAAAAACCTTTTAATTAAAATTATTAATTTCAAAGAAAAAGTTGAAACTATGTATAGTAATCTTACAGAACACATTTTTCAAGATAGTTTGTAAGTATAGATGTCGTGTAGACATCTTGTTTATTTCAAATATAAGGAATTTAACCTCTCAAATTTCTTAAAAATGTCTTTCAGATGGATATTAGAAGTCTACAAAACATGTATCTACTAAAAAGCTTGAGAAAATGTATTAACTTTGAATTCTTACTCTCCAGAAACATATAACTATATGTCAGAGAAGAATATTAAAATAATCTTTCTCATTATTCTAGTCTCAAACGTTGGATGAGTTTTGATTTGAAGCCAGACATCTCGGAAGAAACGTTAGTGAAAATTTCAAAAATAGTTGAACAAAGAAAAACATTTAGTTTCAATCTGATTTGAGATGAAAAGTGTATACACAAGCATGTAGATGAGAATCAACAAGCCTACGTAAAACGTCTTGTGACCTTACGCAATATATACATAGCCCAAGTCGAGCATTGCCAAAGACGGTACCCACAACGCACGAAAATTTAAAATTGTAATATTAATAACACAAGCGCCTATCACCTGGTAACCCGGGGCGCTTATTGCGAATCTATCAAATAAATAATTATTAATAATTAACCCAAGCGCCTATCACCTGATAACCCGGGGCGCTTATTGCGAATCTAGCAAATAAATAATTATCAATAAATAAGTAAAGCACCTATTTTCTGATGACCCAGGACACTTATTGGCCACACTATTGCATAATGAAAAGTTAATTGATAACATATGTAAACAATTCGAAATTTCGATTGGTTGTCTAGTACGACAAATATCTTTTTAATTGGTGCTCTTGTAAGTGATTGATAACACAGGTCTGCAAAAAAAATGGTTTGAGTTGTTATGAGAAAGTGAAGGGTCATTTCCGAAGTAATTTTTTGTGTAGAATCAGAATCTGAAATCCAAATTGCTCTATCAAGTCAGGATTTTGAGATATCCTAACCTAAAAGTACCAAAATCGCGATTTTTGGCTATATTTGAGGTTATGTAGCATCGCAATATTTTTTCTTCTCAAAAATCGACCAATGACACTGTAAAGTAGAAGTCGTGTTCTTTAAAATGCCGTTGAGTTTACTCAAATAGCTTATTTCTGCATTGAGATATTCCATTGACGAATCCTGAACTTAGAAATAACCGTCCAAAACTGTCCAGTAAATTTGTGGATTTTTGGGGTTAGGATTTATGTGGGGTTTGTGCGTTTGTATATTTGGGGTAAAATTTAGGTAAAAGAAATTATGCGAAAGGACAAACGTTACAATATGAGGAAAATCAAAAGATACAATACTTTTAGATCGATTTTGGTGACTTTCACCCCCTTTGCACCCCCCCCCCCCTTTAAGGTGCTCATGGGTGGTTCTTACTGTTGTAAGTTTGTGTGAAATTTTTTCTCACATTACTAAAACCTATTTAGATAAAACTATACAGAAATATGTAGAAAGTCAAGAGTTACAATACTTTTAGATCGTTTTGATGGTTTTGGGTGCTGAAACGTAATGCTTATTAATTTTTGGTTTTAAAGAACCTATTGATGAAAAAAAATTAATAAAAATGTAGGATCTAGAAAATCAACATGAGTATCCAATTTCAACATTAAAAACCACAGAATCATGTACATTTCTAGAGTAACGAAAAACATGAAACTCAAAAACTTCAAAATGGAATATCTCAATGCAGAAATAAGCTATTTGAGTAAACTGAACGGCATTTCAAAGAACAAGACTTCTACTTTACAGTATCGTTGGTCGATTTTTGAGAAGAAAGAATATTGCGATGCTACATAATCTCAAATATAGCCAAAAATCGCGATTTTGGCACTTTTAGGTTAGGATATCTCAAAATCCTGACGTGATAAAGCGATTCGGATGCCGGATTCTGATTCTACACATAAAATTACTTCGGAAATGACCCTTCACTTTCTCATAACAAAACCATGTTGACCTGTGTAATTTATTATTTAATAGTGGCCAGTAAGCGCCCCGGGTCATTGAGTGATATACCCTTGCGTTATTTATATTACAATTTTTAATTTTTGCGCGTTGTGGGTACCAATGCCCCTTTAGAGCTCGGGCACATGGAACCGCGTAAAGCCTATCGCGTATCGCGTAAAATTATAGGATCAGGGAAATTTAGGTAAAGTATGCTTTACGCGAAAATAAAGTATGCAACTTGTAAATACAGTCAGCAGCTAATGTTAACAACAACAATTACAGTATCATTTGTATAATTAATCGAATTTCTGACATGGATGAAAAATAAATCGTAAAAACTTTGGGCAAATTGTGGAAAGTCTGTACGACCTATGCAATGACCCAATATCGCAAAGAAAAAGTGAGAAGTGTAATGATTAAGCTGTATGAAATGTATTAACGGCTTTCAAATAAAAAGAAGTATATACTTGAAAACTTTTTTTTTTACATGTGCACAGGTTAGAATTCACTTGCGTTGAGAACTTCGAAAGCTTTTTTTGTTGAGAAGACAGCAGATTGGTCAACTCCCCTCTACTTCACACTTACGTGGTACGCGAGACTTTTACGCCTTTTCTATGTGACCACAAAGCGGCTTACACCTGACCTTCCTTTTACTTTTACGCGATACGCTTTACGCTTTACGCGGTTCCATGTGCCCGAGCCCTTACTGCTGTCTGATCGGCGGAGCATTCTCTCTAGATCGTATAGCTATATATGCGATCTAGGGAAAAAGTTCTGATGTTGAATCTGATGCTAACACAACGTTGAATCTGATGCTAACACAACGCTGATAGCGACGAAAAAGTGAAACTTGCCCGATCGGAAATCGTACCGTGGCTGTAACGGGGGCCTAGCTATAGGCTTCCGTTACAACCACGGTACGATTTTCGATCGGGTGGTCACCAAAATGTACAGATGACAGACCACAGCTAAGAGGGAAAACTTGCAGGTCAGAACAATTTTAGGGTTACTTGACAAATAAATGTATGCACACGTTGATGGCATCCATCGTCTGCATGCTTCGGCACCCGAGTTGCACTAAATTCTCACCATGGACGCTTAGATCGTTTCGGATATTCCCTTCAACGCCTGCACCCAGCGAATGTTGCAAAATAACAGTAATTCTTATTTTGGTTAGATCAGGCTGACCAACGGTCAATAAACCCTCAGTTCATCATTTTATGGATGCAAAGGGTATTTCTATTTTAGAATAATGATATTTAATGAAGGAATTAGTTATAATTTAGAAGTTAAAAATTTTTTTAAAACGTTTTTTACGCGCATAATAAAAATATCAGAAGCTGATTCATTGGGAATTAAAATTTTTGTATGAATTGGTCATTCAGTTGTATTTAAACAACTTATTTTAATACACATCGGTATACCTCATAAGTTTAACACTTTTGACACTTGGTTCAGACAAATTCCACCTGAAAAAAGGAGAACGAAATTGTATGTGTAATTACTTTGGAAATTACATGTGGTGTTACAGCACAGTGAACTGTGCGAACGACTTGCATCCAGCAAAAAAAAAAAAAAATACCAAAAATTGCAGAATCGTTTGCAGGTTTTGCAATTGCCATGCAAAAAATTGTCAGAGTATTATTTTTTTGTAAAAAAAATAAAATGTAGTACGTCCTGCGAGAATCTAATAAAACTATTATTTCGCCTCAACGGTAGAGTTTCTACTATTAAAATTATCACCAGTCGTTTGCAATTTAATTTCCAGTGCATGTGAGGATCGCAAAATAGTCGAATTAGTTATATTTATTGAATAAATAATTATATTTATATACGAGAGTAAGTCGAGTCATCTTACTCCCACCCCAGGCCAGGGCGCATGCGCACTACACTCGAAATGACGAAATACCAGCGATGGGATATAGTTCCGGCCAGATTTGGGAATTCTCTAGGACCCAACCTCTCTGACGTGGGAAATCACTAGATCAAAAAAAAATAGTACCGAAGGTGACGCGCGAGATTCAAATAAGGTCCAATAACACAAGCATCCATCACCTGATGACCCAGTGTGCTTACTACTCGATGATAGTCTACTCGATGGGGCTTTTTATAACCACTCTTTACTATATTTGGTTGCGGGTGGCTTCAATTTTACCTCGACACCACCTAGCAGATCCTACTAAACTAAATTTAGCAAAACTGTGAGCTTATTTATCGCTATTGTTATTAACTTTTTCAAGAAAAAAACTAAAAAACTATGCGAAAACCATCTAGGAATCATGAAAAATCAGTACGCAAAATTTCAGCAAAATCGGTTCAGTAGTTTTCGCGGTTAGCGATTACAACGGTTTTAGCGACTTTGCATTATATATTAGTAAGATGGCTATACATAATGGGTTTTGGATTGGTATGACATATGTAATTTCATCTGAAAAACCACGTTAAATTACAAATTGAACAAAAGAAAAAAATGTTGTCGTCTAGAAGTAACGGCATAATAACATAATGCGTTATTTATTGTTGACAGTAAGTGTTACCATTCATATCATAACTACAAAAGGGGGTTCAGATGATACTGCTTAAATATAAAGAAATGGGATTTTTCAATTTTTTTTATTCATGAAATAGTACTTGAAGTTATCGTCCGGATGGTAAAACGATTGATTACGGTATTAATTCTGCAGTTATTTATACATAAAAAAGTTTTTTTTTTTTTTTTTCAATTTTTGTCCTATGTGTTTTTCCACGTGGAATTACTCATATCTAGAACTCCTGATGTAAAAGCTTCATGTATTGCCTCATAGCTTTCCTGAAGTAATTATGGATTAGAGAATATAGAATATATACTCTTCTGGCAATATATTTTATATTCTCTGATAATTACATATAGAATTCCGTTATCTCGCTTCCGTTAGTCGCTGCACAGCGAAAGTTTTGAGAAGCAGACCCGTGCACGTTTTACGCGATTTTTTCGCACTCTTGCGTTAGACGTGCGTAAAAAATGCTCGGGTTTGATTTTTAAAACTGACGATGTACACTCAGTGGAACTCTGATCTGTCTCGGACCCTATTTCAGAACTATGGTGTGAAGTACTGTTCAATAATAGGGTCCGGGACAGAACACAGTTCCACTGACTATACTACTGGAGCCTTTTTTCAAAACGGGTTTTATTATTCAGTAATAATAAAAAACTAAATTAAACACTTAAATACAGGAAAAAGCCTATGCGACACAAAACCTGTTTTATTGGTTAAAATTTTTTTGAAAATTGTAATGCATAATTGAATGTATCTCATTGAGCATGAGTCTCTTTGGAAGACATTTATGTTTGTTAACTCAAAAGCTGTAGTCTCATTGAAAAACGTGGACATAAATTGTTATCGAATAAAATCACGTTTTGTAGACTAGGTGTCAAATTTCGTTGTAAAAAAAAATCGAAACAAAAAATGGAGAACATGTCTGTCCCGATCAAAAGCTTGCCGGAAAAAAACGAAAAAATGACTTGAAAAACTAAATGGTATTACTCTCCCGTTAATTAACATGATAGAGCTGTATAAAAATTGACGATTGTATTTGTGTTTATATTATTCAATCAAAGTCAGAAGTTAAATTTTCTGACCAACGATGTACACTCAGTGGAACTCTGATCTGTCCTCGACCCTATTTCGGAACCATGGCGTGAAGTACTGTTCAATAATAGGGTCCGGGACAGATCAGAGTTCCACTGAGAGTGTACAATAGATAACCTATTCGTCATGAGACGCGCAGGAGAGGTTTTAGTTCCAGATATTGCCGCACGATGCTTTTCTACATTGTAGAATGGCGCAAAATTTTCGCGGTTCTTATTGAACTCGTAAAATGGTAGAGGTTTTAGTTTCAACTTTAGCTAATTCATTTAAACTTCGGCTCTAGTAGTCGCGTCTCATGACGAATAAAATTTCGATTATTATTGTAGATAAGATAATACACGATCTTCTTACAGAGATGTTACAGTAGAGAACATAATGGAGATATGATAGGGAATATATTCCAATGCAACCTCTGTACCTAATGTTAATAAATATGATCTTGACGTAGAAAAAATTAGTTTTTTTTTAGTTGATGGCATTATTCTGAGATATAATAAAATTGGAATATTATTTTTTCTGGATTTTAAAACCTTATCTTTGTCTTTGAATTTTATTGACCTTGAATAACTTATTTGTGACTTTGGCTGATCGTATTGTATACGTATTCTGGGGAGTGAAAAAGTCAAAGCATTTTCATTTCTTCTTTTAAGGTCCTGACGGCACGGCACTTACGCATTACGCTTGAGAACTAGAGAAACAGTATTGTTAGTTTTCTTTACTCCCTGGGGAACTCTCAAATAACATGATCAGCATACTCATGAGTTAAAAGATTCACAGAGGTACCGCAAACAAGGGTCATGAGTGTCATTACCACTTGCTGGCATGCTTTGCAATCCGCTAAGTAGACCAGAATTCAAATCCGAGTACTTGTAATGATGGGAATCAGCGCAAAAGGCTCGCATACTTGGAGAAAAAGAAGAGGAATTAGGGGAAAAAAAAGTGATGAGGTGGTAGACGTGGTGATTAGGAAATTGTTAGAACCCTGCAATGGGAATACATTAAATTCAATACAATACAATACATACACATCCATATTACTAAATTTCTCATATTTTACACATTTTTTAAAAAGTTATAAAAATTATGTTATGTAATTACAAGGGTTTTTTGAACCTTAGCGTTATAATAATATGACTAAAAAAACTATATTGTTTATTTCAAAATATCAAGTTATTTTTACCTATTAAAATTAGGAAAACAAAGTATAACATATAGTTTTTGACTAATAAGCGTAACAAGAGTCAGCAGCTTTAGCATTTATGTTTTTCAATATAGTCTTTAAGGTACCTTTTGAGCCCATGTCAAAACTTCGAGGAAATTGCGTTCCTTCTGGCCTTTCGTACAACTTATGCATTATTTGCTCCCATTTAACTGGAGAAACAATTTGGCGACTTAAATACTTTTTGTTAAGTTTTTCATTATTAGTATAAGTTGAGGCAGAGAAATTAGAATAGACATATGCACTTGGCTCTCCCAATGGGGTGTCCATTAAGGCCTTGGTAAATGGTTTTAAAGCACCTTCCATCAAAGGGGTGTGAAACGCACCAGTTACTGGTAACCTTTTTAAATGACGTAAGCCAAGACCACGGCAATTTTTTTCAATGTATTGCAAGGCTTCACTGCAACCTCCAAAAACTTTTCCTTGTGTGTACATGTAGACTGCCACTCTAAATGGTATGAGAAAGATGAAACCCATTACATCATTTAATTTGAAAAGAAACGGAGCCTAATAAAATAATTGCTGCAGCTATAACTGATCTTCAAAAAAAGAAATAAGAATATTGTTGTAAAAAAAAAATTTTGCTGTAATACAACACAAGTAATTTTTTATGTTCAAAAGGAGAAATTTATCTAGTTTGGTTATTAATATAATTACATTACCGTTGTATTTATATTGTAATGTACAAAAAAATAGAAGTGTTCTCCACTAATGTACTCTTGAAAACAATGTGCTATTAATTTCTTGAAGAACATTTGTAGCTCTTAGAGACTTTGATATGTTGTGACGTTAATAAAATAATTAAAAAAAACATATCAGTAAAAAATGAAAAAAAATAAATAAACAAAACTGAATAAGTACTGGCAAATAGGATGTGCTGCCCCAATGTCCATTGCCCACTTCTGAGCCTGCTGACAGATGCTTCCAACTTTTGCAGTTGGTGTGCAGTAACATGACAGCATTCCCTGGGAAGTGATTTCAGAGGCAGCCTGCATGGAGGCGGCTCGGACGCCTACAAGTCGGATGCCTTCTTCGTAAGGCATGGCTCCAGTGAATATAAGAGCAGTAAGCTCTCCAACGCTGTAGCCAGCTACTGCTACACAGGATTCAACGGCTCGGGGCCGTTCCTCCTGTAACTTTTCGAGAGCCGCGAGGGAACTGACAACGGTTGCCGGCTGGTTGAATTCTGTTCGATCGAGCACGTTCTGTGGGCCCCTCATACTGATTTTAAGAAGGTCGTAACCTAAGATATCACTTGCTATCTGATAGAGCTCCTTAACACGAGGGAATCGAAGATACGGTTTGACATCACCCACTTTGATGGTACCCTGTCCAGGAAACAAAATAATTGACCTCTCCGACGACTCGACCTTGCGCTTTGAGCAGCCTGCCAAAGGATCTGTCATCGCACTTGCAGGGTAGGGCGTTGTGGCCCATTCAGCATTCCCAATTTCAGAAAAGCTTGCAGCATCATCAAGCAGCTTAGAAACCTCTGGCTGATCTTTAGTTTCCACATCTTTGTAAATAAAGTCACTGCTGCTTATTGGTAATGATGATGATGATGATGATGACAGTCCCCGCGAACGTACACCCCGTACTACCCCTGAAAATGATGGCTTAAATATTGCCCACACATGTGGCGAATATTGCCACATCTTATTATTTGCAAATCTGGATAGGACTAAATGATGCTGTATTAGTAGTTATAAATATTTCTTGATTAAAGTCCCGCCAGCTAACCATACGGCAAACACGCTACGAATTTCCTTAGAATTGTTTGAAGTCACTATTATCCAGTAAACTAACGTTCAATAATCTAACCGACATCCATGCTTGTTTACAAAACTTGAAGAAGTGTGTTCAATGCGTTCAATGTACATATGGCTAAGGGTGTTGACACTGTACATTGTGGACTACAGTCAGGCTGTTCTGCTACAAACACGAACGCTGCAGTCGCTGCTGTTCTGAGCGCAGGGTTGTTGACAAAAGTTGCTTTTTAAAATTAGAAGTTTTAAAAGTTTTAGTTAGCTTCCACTGACAGCCCTGTCTGGGCGTCGGCAGTCCTTGTAAGTTTCGAGATATATGGTATGATTTTTAGATCGAAAAATTAATAAAAGCACGAGAAAATTGTTATCGCTAGTTTTTTGTATTTGTAACAAATTGTACTCCTTTCAAACACCTACACAGTTCAGCAACGGCCTCCCAAAAAAAGGTAAATGTGGCCTAAACAGGTTTCTTGCGCCTACACAAAAAAAAACTAAAAATCGTACAAAAAAATGAAATTTAAAAAAGAAGTAAAAAAAAATTTTGGATAGGGATAAGCCACGCTCCAGTCGGTTCAGCCGTTTTCTCTCAAGTCGCAAAAAAATGTCGTTTTTGGCCATTTTTGCAAATTTAATAACTCCCCGAGTGGAAACTGTAATACTGTCAAACCTTGCCGATCTTTGGCAAACTCTGCCAAACTCTGGCAAACGTTGCCAAACTCCGGCGATTCGGACTTTTAGCAGAGTTAGGCAGAGTTTGGCAGATTTCAGCTAAGTTTGGCAAAGTTAGGCAAAGTTTAACAAACATATGTTAGTCAAGGTTTGGCAAAGTTATGCAAGATTTGGAAAATTTAGGCAAGATTTGGCAAAATTCGGCATAGTTTGGTAAAGTTAAGCAGAATTAAACAAAGTTATGACTGTTCTAGACTAAAGTTTAATAGTTAAATTTATAATTCATGCACACGCGCAGGAGTGAACACACACTATCTTCTATCAATGTATTAAACTTATAGTAAAACATACACCCAATTATGAAACATTTTTTTTATATAGCATGTACGATCGCATACATAAAAGTAAATATATTTGATTTTTATAGGGTTCTTGGTATATTGGGCTATTAGTAAATATGTAATGAATACATTACTATCATATTATCTTCAAACTTTAATATACCGGTTACAGTATATATAGTGCACCTTAATTTAATGTTAGTAATACATAAATATCTTCTACTATCTTATCAAATTGCGATGGTATACAAGATCTCTCATTAAAATAGAAGGTTCTATGACATTTAAGGACGTTCGGTAGTGTTAGCGGGGGGAAACATTTGCGCGGTGAGGGAAAACCAGCGATGAATGAAGATTTGGCAACGTCGTACGGGTCTTAAATGTGTGAGTGTTCATGTACACGCATCAGGTGTCTCTGCACACTCTACACTGTCTGCTCGTCTGCTGCGTGCTGCGTCGGTTACGACAGCGTTCGTGTATCAATGTTTTTGTGATAAAGCTGTAAGTATTTGTTACTGATTTATTATAAAAGTGTAGTGAAAATGAATAAATGAGTAATTAGAAAGACTTGTAACAATTGTATTTCTATTTGTAGATTTCATTCGTAAGAATGCCCAAAGCCAAACAGTATAATTGTTAACAGTAAATTAACCGCTACATATCTTTCATGGGATGATATTTCAACGAACGTGTTTTCCGTAAAAGATGTTCTTGCGAAAATTCAAAGAATTTCTGATGAAAAAATGTATTCGCCAACTTTTTCCCCCATGTCGTCTATCATTCCCAAAACAGTGATTAAAAATCTAAGTCAAAATAAAGTAGATTTTAATATTATTGTTGATAAATTTATGGAAGGTAATGATGGTTTAAGATCGTTTCTAATAAATGGGCAAAGCCCTTTAATCAAAAGAGCTACCAGTGTAAATAAAATACTTGAATTTTTAAATGACTTGACAAGTCTCATACAGCATGGGATGTCAGATAAGTAGGATGATTTCTAAGATGAGTGATTCAAACTATGAGCATGTGATTTTGTAATGTGCAAAAAAATTGTATCTTAAGAAGAAATAATAAATTTGAAATTAAAAAAANAAAGTTTGGCAAAGTTAGGTAAAGTTTAACAAACATATGTTAGTCAAGGTTTGGCAAAGTTAGGCAAGATTCGGAAAATTTAGGCAAGATTTGGCAATTTTCGGTATAGTTTGGTAAAGTTGAGCAGAATTAAACAAAGTTATGACAGTTCTAGACTGAAGTTTAATAGCTAAATTTGTAATTTATCCACACGTGCAGGAGTGAATACACACTATCTTCTATCAATGTATTAAACCTGTAGTAAAACATATACCCAATGTTAATTAAACATTTTTATATAGCATATACGGTCACATACATAAAAATAAATATTTGATTTTTATAGGGTTCTTGGTATATTGGGCTATTGCTAAATATATAATGAATACATTACAATCATATTATCTTTAAACTTTAATATACCGGTTACAGTATATGCTTAGCGCACCTTAATTTAATGTTAGTAATACATATCTTCTACTATCTTATCAAATTGCGATAGTATACAAAATCTTAATAACATAGATGGTTCTATGACATTTAAGTGCGTTTTCTTATGTTTATCGACATAATTTTAATGAGAAACATGCGTGTGTCCTGCGTTTAAAAAAAATTATTAGATTTTGTAAGCTTTTTAATAAAAACAATAACTTTTTAAAAACTTTCATAATCAATTTTGCGTACGTTCGTTATAATACCGCAATCGTTAGTTGTAGTTTCAACAATAAAATAATTTTTTTTCTGCTATCTTAAATATTTATTGGTTGTATATCTTTAGTTAGAATAAATAATTCTAGAATATTTTGTACATTTATGAATACTATTAACGTTTATTATTTTTTTAAGCAATTTTTTTCTGTCTCAGAAAGAGTATAAGAAATATCTAATAACTATCATTAATATTCTATTTCTAGTGCTAAAAAAAAGTTGGTAAGTAATTACCTCAAATACAAATAAAGAAGATTAACTTTTTTATTTACTTATAAAAAATATGTGCTAGTCCCATTTGGTGCGATGCTGTTCTGTGTGAAAGTGTATGAACGTAGATATTTATTTATGTATGGAGTACATGTATTATATTTTGGATTTTTTTATATGTACACTTACAGAACCGCCATCTAACACATTTATTGGCTCCATGCAAACATCGTGCTGCCCTTATTTCATTTCCCTAACCCATGTTAAATCTTATGGAAGCAAATAGTACCCGTGGCAGGCACCAGCGACACTATACCCTAGTTTTCATAAAATTTCGTGTTAAAGTGACAGCCAGCGCCAGCCCTCCCCTCCAACTCCATGAAGGGAGTCAATACGAGGTAATAAATAAATAAATAAATAAAAATTGAAAAAATATAGTAGATTTGTTCGATTAACAGGTTCCAAGCGCTCGGAGCGATCGGAGTGCTCTGAACTCTAGCCTGGAAACGTGTTCTTGCTCCGAGCGCTCCAACTGCCCCAAGTGACCCAAAAAATCCGTAGTAGTGCCCGGTTTACTTTTCGTCTAGTGTAAGTATAAATTATCTACAGACAAGAGGTTAAGATAATTCATAGCTGGCTCTCTTACGGTTTTTTTGGGTTGCCTGATTATGAGCATGTGTGGAGCAGTTGGAGTGCTCGGAACGATCGGAGCAAAAACGCGTGTTCGGACTAGAGCTCAAAGCACTCTGAGCGCTCCGAACCTCTTAATCAAAAAAATCTAGTGGTTATAATTTTATTTCTAATATTATTAATTTTCATTTTTCTTAACTCAGCCTGACTTACCTTGCAGCTTAATCTGACTGACCTTGCGTCATAAAGTTGCTTAGCTTCGCCGAAATGTGCCTTAAATTTCTAATTACTGCCAATATTTGCCAAATCTTGACTAACTCTGCCATTCCTTGCCTAACTCTGCCTAACCCTGCATAACTCTATCTAACTCTGCCAAACGCTGCAAAACTTTGCTAAAGGTCCGAATCGCTGGAATTTGGCAGAGTTTTGCAGAGTTAGGCAGAATTTGGCAAAGTTAGGCTAAGTTCAGCAGGGTTTGACAATATTACAGTTTCCACTCGGGTCGCGTTCTAATTAATATGAAAAGTTTAAATGTAGGAGTATTATAGCCCTCATCATACACACGAAATTTCAACAAGATTGGTTGTAAACTTTTCGCGAATCAGTAAGAAAACTAAAAAAAGGTATTTTCGTAAAATAGCCATAAAAAAGTTTAGGTGTAACGTAGCTTCATTTTTCAAAAGTGCTCTTGTTCGTCAAGAGTTCATCTATAAGATCTTCAAATGCCGTTGGCTCAAGTTTATTTTTCCTTCATAGCTGTTAGGTTCTCCCAGCGCAGACCTTGGAGAGGATCAGTGATTTCTGGTTTAATGCTTATGAGTCGAGAGGGTAGTATAGGGTTGTCGGTCACCAGGGTTTCCAGCCTTGCGACGAACAACTCCGCTCGTGACGTCTGCCAGTGAATGACTGATTTAGTTTAATAGTGACCGTCTTTTTAGTTAACAGAGTCTTTTAGTCGACGAATCGTTGCCAGGAATGGTAGTAAAAATGTATTTTTTGGCAAGGTAGTTTCAACTTAGGTGTCCCTAAAAAGAACCGATGTGATAAATGGTTAAGTAGGGAACGTAAATACTTATAACGGCCCTGAAATGGGCCAGTGGTGATATTTTCAGTTATTCCTTAGTATTCTTGATGATGGAGAGCTAGCTGTGGGTAGCTTGACTCTTAATATTGGAGTCTCTGTGTATACGGAGACCGTACAGGAGAGAGGTATGCTACTGACCAAAGAATATCCATACCAACCGCTCATCGTTAGTCGAGAAAGTGGGCCTGGAGAATACCTTCTCTGTAGTTATGCTGTTGGGACAACCACTAAGAAGGAGGATGTTGTAGCTGCCCACACTTATACGGGCTATCTTCTATGGCTTGTATTTAAAGTAGAAAATCCTCTGACAGCACCAGGCCAGATGGTAAAATGGCCACAAAGCTCTGAAATGTTGGAGCAGGTTGTACTCTGGC